TGCTGACCTCTGAAGAAGGGTCACTGGACCCAACACAGTAACTCTGATTTTCTCCACAGACACTGCCAGACCTTCTTAGTTTTTCCAACCATTTCTGTTTTTGTTTCTGATTTCCAGCATCCACAATTCTTTCAATTTTTTTTTGTTTGGCTTTTCAATGCTAGTTGCCAGTGCAGTCTGCAATGCAATGAGTGCACGATTCCTGAACTGTCTGACACGTGGATCAGAGAGGTGGCATGATGGTCTTGGAGAGTTGGCAGATGCCACCATCTGTGGACGAGAGGTGCATGTAGCTGGTGCCAAAGGATTGTGCCCTATGATGGTGTTTGATTTGTATGAACATAAGAACATAAGAAATAGAAGCAGGAGTAGGCCATCTGGTCCATTGAGCTTGCTCTGCCATTCGGCTGATCTTTTCATGGACTCAGCTCCACTTACCTGCCCATTCACCATAGCTCTCAATTCCTTCACTTTTCAAAAACCCGTCAATCTTTGTTTAAAAAATATTCAATGAGGTAACCTCAATTGCTTCATTGGGCAGAGAATTCCACAGATTCACAACCCTTTGGATGAAGAAGTTCCTCCTCAACTCGATCCTAAATCTGCTCCCCCTTATTTTGAGGCTATGCCCCGTTGTTCTAGTTTCACCCGCCAGTGGAAACAACCTCCCTGCTTCTATCTTATCAATTCGCTTCATAATTTTATATGTTTCTCTAAGATCCTCCCTCATTCTTCTAAATTCCAGTGAGTACAGTCCCAGTCTACTTAGTATCTCCTCATAAGGCCACCTTCTCAATTCCAGAATGAACCTAGCAAACCTCCTCTGTACACCCCTCCATTGCCAGTACATCCTTTCTCAAGTAAGGAGACCAAAACTGTACACAGTACTCTAGGTGTGGCCTCACCAGCCCCCTATACAGCTGCAGCATAACCTCCCTGTTTTTAAACTCATCCCTCTAACAATGGAGGGCAATATTCCATTTGCCTTCTTAATCACCTGCTGCACCTGCAAACCAACTTTTTGTGATTCATACACAAGGACACCCAGGTCCCTCTGCACATCAGCATGCTGCAATTTTTCACCATTTAAATGATACTCCATTTTGCTGTTAATTCTACCAAAACGGATGTCCTCACATTTACCAATATCGTACTCCATCTGTCAGACCTTTTCCCACTCACTTAACCTATCTATATCCTGCTGCAGAATTTCATTGTTCTCTGCACACTTTGGTCTACCACTCATTTTAGTGTCACCTGTGACACACTACACTTGGCCTCCAACTCTAAAGCATCTATGTAAATTGCAAACAATTGCAGTCCCAACACTGATCCCTAAAGTACACCACTAACTATTGCTTCCTAACCAGAAAAACATCCACTTATCCTCACTCTTTGCTTTCTGTGTAGTTAACTAATCTTCTATCCATGCTAATACATTACCCATAACACCGTGCACCTGTATCTTAATCAGCTGCCTTTTGTGTGGCACCTTGTCAAATGCCTTCCAGAAATCCAGATACACCACATCCACCGGTTCCCCATTGTCCACCAGACTCATAATGTTCTCAAAGAATTCCAGTAAATTAGTTAAACATGACCTGTCTTTCATGCACCCATGTTGTGTCTGCCCAGCGGGATAATTTCTATGCAGATGTATCGCTATTTCTCCCTTGATTACAGATTCAAGCATTTTCCTCACTACAGAAGTTAAATCAATGGGCCTATGGTTACCCATTTTTTTGTCAGCCTCCTTCCTTCATCATCTCATGCATGAAATGCACCATGAAAATCAACAAAAATTACGCTTAACTGATTTCTAGTAAGATTTTAACACACCACCCGGTTCCTTACCAACCAACTGGACTCTGATCATTCTTTGACACAATATCAACATATAGTGGTGGTCTCTGTAACAAAAACAGAAGTTGCTGGAAAAGCTCAACAGGTACGGCACCATCTGTGAAGAGAAATCAGAGTTAATGTTTCGGGTCTGGTGACCCTTCCTCAGAACTGATGGTCGCTAGGAAAATGTTGGATTATGTGCAGAAGTTAAGGAGTAAATGATACGTAGCAGTAGAGCCCAAAGAGAGAGATGAACAGTTGGATAGACAAAGGAGTAATTAACGCTCTGGCTGGGAGGGTGAATAGCTGTTAATGGGGACTGTTAGTGGCTAACAATAGGTAGTGTGTAATGGCAGACTATGTGATAACAAGGCCTGGTGTGTGGGGTTGGGGGCTAGGGCATGGAAGAGTTTAGGCCCTAAAATTATTGAACTTGATATTGAATCTGGAGGGCTGCATGATCCCCAAGCGGAAGATGAGGTGTTGTTCTTCTAGTTTGCGCTGAGCTTAGCTGGAACACTGCAACAAGCCTGAGACAGAGATGTTGGCCAGGGAACAGGGTGGTGTGTTAAAGTGGCAGGCAACTGGAAGCTCAGGGTCATTTTTGCAAGCAGAACGTAGATGCTCTACGAAGCATCACCCAGTCTACGCTTCATTTCCCCAATGTAGAGGAGACTACATTGTGAGCAGCGAATGCAATAGACTAGATTGTGGGAAGCGCAGGTGAAGTGCAGTTTCACCTGAAAGGTATGTTTGGGTCCATGGATACTGAGGAGTGAGGAGGTAACTGGGCAGGTGTTATACTTATGGTGGTTGCAGGGGAAGGTTGGTGTTGAAGGAAGAGTGGACCAGGATGTCCTGGAGGGAATGGTCCCTGTGGAAGGGCGGACAAGGCAGGGGAGGGGAATATATGTCTTGTGGTGGCGGATGATCTTCTGGATGTGGATGCAGATGGGATGGTAGGTAAGGACACGGGGAACCCTATCACTGTTGTGGGAGGGAAGAGAAGGGTGAGGGTAAAAGTGCTGGACAACGGTGCTGGAGAATCCTTGGTTGAGGAATAGGGTGGATATTTCAAAGGTTCCCTTGTCAAAGTTGGCCTCATCAGAACATTTGCAAAGGAGACGGAAGAACTGAGAGAATGGGATGAAGTCTTTACAGGAAGCAGGGTGCAAAGATGTGTAGTCCAATTAGCTGTGGGAGTTGATGGGTTTATAGTGGATATTAGTGAACAGTCTATCCCCAGAAATAGAAACACAGATGTCAAGGAAGGAATCAGAGATAGACCTGGTGAAAGTGAGGGCAGGGTGGAAGTTGGAAGTAGAATCAATGAACTTTTCCAATTCCAGACAAGGGAGGGAAGTAGCACCAATGATATCATTGACATATTGGAGAAAGACCTGTTGGAAGGGTCCGGAATAGGACTGGATGTACCTCCATGTACTTTGTATGTACCTCATGAAGAGACAGGCATAACTGGGGACCATGCAGGTACCCATGGCCACTCCTCTGAACTGAAGAAAATGAGAGGAATTAAAAGAGAAGTTGTTGAGGTTGAGGATGAGCTGGACTGAGCAGAGGAGGGTGGTGGTGGGTGGGGATGGTCAGGCCTTTGCTCAAAGAAGAAACTGAGAGCCCTGAGACCATCCTGGTGGGGGATGGACATGTAGTGGGATTGCACATCCATGGGAAAGAGGGAGTGGCCGGAGCCTGCAAACTGGAAATTCTGAAACTGATGTAAAGCATCAGAGGAATTGCAGATGCATGTGGGCAGGTGGTCTCTGTTCCTGGTATATTTTCCTGACTTTATTTTTTCTTGATGGCCATTGATTCTTCTCAACCAAATGGAACAAATTTCTGATGCCATCATAGTCAACACAGTGTGGAGCTGGAGGAACACAGCAGGCCAGGCAGCATCAGAGGAGCAGGATGGTGCCTGGCTTACTGGGTTCCTCCAGCTCTACACTGTGTTGACTCTGACTCCAGCAAATGCAGTTCTTGGTATCTTCTAATACCATCATAGCTGCTCTCAGTTGATTCTACCATGAGTCTAGGAAGCCCTATAAAATCTTCTAACCTTTGTCCCTTGATTCATTGTTCAACAACACACATTTCTTTGACCTGTGGTTCCATGACTGACTGTTCCGTGGCTGGTTGGTCTATGACTGACATCTCCTTGAACATTCACGGTATTACTGGGTGCCTTTTGGCCAGTTTGATCATTATTGTAACTAATTTTACTCTTTCCACCAGATTGTTTTTATTTTCACATGTACTCATGTACAGGAATACAGGAGTACAATGAAAAGTGAACAAAGTTGCCATTCTGTGGCGCAATCTTAAAAATACGCTATATAAAATCAGAATTTAGAAAAGGCAAGAGAAGAAATAAAAGAAACAGAGCCAAAGGCAAAAAAAAAAAATCCAGGTCTTAAAGTTCTCATCCAAAAGGAAAGGAAAGGTCCATATTTTATGTCTCATCACCCTTTCGATTTGAATAAGGTTAAGGTCAGGACAACAATTTATGTTTTCTGTGTTTGTTTGTTCATGGCTAAGATCTTGATTGCGAACCACATATACATTCTCTGCTATCTTACACCACTTGCGAGACAGAGTTGCTTTCAGCATACAATACTGTTAATCTTGAGATCTATACCTCCTAGACCTCCTTGTAGTTTGTAATTTCACACATGTATTGATTCGATATGCCCTGGTATCAAGTTTAAAATTAATGAGATGTCTATTGACTTAAATTGTTTTGTCAAAATGAATTGGTTGGATCACCAATTTACCCTGTAAATACATTGGATGTTTCTTCCATTCCAGGTTTCCCTATCTCATTAACATCTTTGTAGCTATTTGAGCTTGTTTTGCTCTGTAACTTCCCTACTTCTGCACATTTTCTGGAAGCGACCTATTGTCTTCGTAGCTTTTTTGTTAATAGCTGGGTACTGCTTGTGCCTTTGAGGTTTCCTTCTTCCAGAGCATTGACCCAGATGCTTAGTACTTCTGTCCAGCCTTCTTTCCGTATTGGCTTGTCACATGTATCCTTTGGGGTTTTTTTTACGTTAAAAATCGACTGCATTCTGTTGCTACTGTGATAAGGCTGGTATCTGAATTAGGATTTCAGCTGCTTTATTCATGTTGTTTTTAAGGGCTCTCATGTGGCACAATGGTGGTGTCCCTGCCCCTGGACTGGAAGTTCTGGATTCAAGCACGTGCTCCACAGGTATTTAATAACATCTCTGAACAGGTTGATTTGAAAAAACAAGTTAAAGGTTTTTAATCCTGCAGTATATCAAAGCACTTTATTCCCTTTACCTGACGAGCTTTTAAGCCTGCTGTGTAGCAATACCATTTTACTTTCCTTGTCTTAAAGGCTTCCAACTGTGCTGCATAACAATTCCACTTCCCTGTGCTGCTAACTGGAATGCGGTCTCATGATTTTTCAGCCAAAATAAAGGGTCCCCTGCCAACTGTGGCTAAAGGTAAGTTTACCCACCTTTGTAACCTAATAAATAATTCTTGTACTTTAATCTGACAAATAAAGCCTGCTGCCAATGGCCTTACAGATGAAGCCCATTGCTTTAGCAGCTCACTGTTGATACATAAACAGTGTCCGCAGCACATCTAGTAATGCCCGTTGTCTTTCAATTTTAGTTGAGACACCTAAATACAGCCTCTACAAATTAATCCTGGTTGCTACAGCATTAATAACTCTTTTTTTTACTGGAACTATGCCTTCAATTTTGGATCTCCTATTCTTATTGCAGCCACAACAGTTTCCTTACTTTCTCCATCTTTTAGGTTTTGTCTGCTCAGGCTTCTAAATTGTCTCTTTTTCACTTTAATTCTGGCTTCACAATGTTCACACTGCTGTGACCTTGGTTTGAATTATTTCCATAACCCTTGATTTCTTTTACTGTAGCAGGGCCCTGTGGTTTTCTCCTGCTATGGTGGCAATGCTCACTTTGAGCTGTAAGTGCATCTATTTTTTATTTCCAGTCTTTTCAGCCTGTAATTGCACCTTTCTGTTTTAAAGCTTTCCCTTTGCCTACCAGGGATTTCAACTTCATTCACAGGGCATCAAATATCCGTGCAGTCACTGATTCTGGACGTCTAATTGGAAACAAATCAGGATCCAAAGTAATCTGAAACTAACGGGTATATCAAGTGTGTCAGCTCCACATAGCTTCCAGTTCATACTTGCTTCTGCATTTCTCTATCCAGATCTGAGGTGTTTGTTTGCCGCTGCAATGTAAATTTTCTCGTGTGGAATTATGCTACAAGTTTGCCTGCTGCAAGTTGCTTTATTGTTCGGGTCTTTTCATTGCTAACCAAGTCTTCTTAAAGCACTGGAAATTTCTCTTGAGTTCACTGGCATTCTTTCCAAACAGGTAAATCAAATTCTACTCTACACCACTGCCTACTATGCCATATGGGCATGCTATACCTACCAGTGCCAACGTGTGGTTGGATAGATTGCTGCCATCATCTTGTCTAACAGGTTTACAGGGTCTACAGAGTCTAAAATGTAGACAAAAACCATCAGTTAAACAAAAAAGAAGAGGCTGATGTCTTAAACAAGATGTAGTTTTTTGCATGATAGTGATCAGATACAAGTATCCATTGCAAGTTAAACTAACAACATTGTTAGCGAGGCAATGAGGACAGTTCAATCGTAAAAACTGAAAGAACTGCAGATGCTGTAAATCAGAAACAAAAAACAGAAGTTGCTGGAAAAGCTCAGCAGGTCTGGCAGCATCCGTGAAGAAAAAAATCAGAGTTAACGTTTCGGGTCCGGTGACCCTTCCTCTGAGGATGCTGCCAGACCTGCTGAGCTTTTCCAGTTCAATAGTAGGTCTGTTTACCTTGAGACCCAGGGCAGTCTTGCCTGTCCCCACCCAAGTTGCTGTGACATCATCAAGTTGACTATGTTTCAGCTTTAACCCTTTCAGAACCATTGCCTTATATAACAGGGTTTTGGGAAGGGCTCTTGTAGTGCACTCTAGTGTCCTCACTTCTGAGCCAGGAGGCCTGTGTTCAACTCCCTTGTGCACCAGAGGTATCTATGAACATCTCTGAATAGGTTGATTTGAAAATGAATATAACTCACTCTTGCACCATATTCTGGAATCTTGACTCCCAGAAGCATTGTCTGTACACACACCATAACTATGGTGCTAAGTTCCAAGAGATTCTGCGATATTTTAAAGGTAACTGAGTTATTTGCAGTGACTATGACAGTGGAGGCCAGACTCTATTAATCAAGGGCTCACAAAACTGATTGTTGATCTGTATTCAATATGGAATGTGTAAACAAACAATAAGACTATATATCAAACATTGTCAATGATATAAAAATTACTTTACAGACTCTGTAGCAGCCTCTGAGGATTTGGCAGTGTTAGCATGGGCTTTTATTCAGAATATCCACATGATGAGCAGACTTTTACAAGTGAGATCAGCAACCCAACATTGAGGGGAAAAGCGAGTTGTTGCCCCTCATTTGCTAGCGGTGAAGTCTGCAATTTTATTGCAGGTGACATCTGAACTGGCTGTCTACAGGTCTGCTACTGACTAGGGATGGCAGCTAGACTCCTGGTACTGCCAGCTTAATCAGAGCATGGTATCTCTGATGCCTCACCAGCGCCAAGAGAAGAGGAGGTTACTGCTGAGGAATGCAGGAATGTTCTCTATAGCAGGTAAATAAGAAATAAAAATTAGACTCACATCAGAGGGGAAAACCCTCTAAGGAAATTGTTGACACAGTAGGAACTGGCTGTAGCCCCTTCTATTTTTTTAGAATGACCTACTTTTTCCCAGATGTGGCTGGGACGCTGACCCCATCCTGTCCTGAGGGTTAGGGCTTGGGGGCTGCCCTACATTCTACAAAATGGCACCCATAAAATGGCCTTTAATGATGTAAGTTGGCAGCCTGCTTCCCCGACTAGGCTAACATCAATGAAATATGCCGACTGCAGGATTATGTGAGTCCATATCTCCAAGATATGGGGCAGCACGGTGGCTCAGTAGTTAGTACTGCTGCCTCATAGCGTCAGGGACTCGGGTTCAATTCCACCCTTGGACAACTGTCTGTGTGGAGTTTGCACGTTCTCTCCATGTCTGTGTGGGTTTCCTCCGGGTGCTCCGGTTTCCTCCCACAGTATAAAGATGTGCAGGCTATTGGTCATGCTACATTGCCCATAGTGTTCAGGTATGTAGCTTAGGTGGGTTATAAGGGGATGGGTCTGGGTGGGATGCTCCAAGAGTCAGTGTGGACTTGTTGGGCCAAGGGGCCTGTTTCCACACTGTAGGGATTCTTAAAAAAAAGATTTTATTCGCACTCCCCTGCCCCCAGTGGCCTCACAGCCTACCGCCCAGATACAAATAAAGCATAGGCTCCTTACAATCAGTGAGTTTCTTAATGCTGTTTCTACCCTTGGCATATTTTTCATCTTCCTATTGTTGTTCAACTTACATCTTGAAAAAGTGGTTAGAACTTTTTTCTCTTTTCCAACAGCTGCAAATATATAAATGGTAGTTATTCAATAAGGAATGTAACACGTACCATATGGCCTGTCTTGGCTGCCAAGGATATGTTTTCTTCTCAAGTGGCAAGCTTAAAATTCCATTTCGGATCCGGTGACCCTTCCTCAGAACTCAGCAGTTCTGGCAGCATCCTCAGAGGAAAGGTCACCGGACCCAAAACGTTAACTCTATTTTCTCCTTCACAGATGCTGCCAGACCTGCTGAGCTTTTCCAGCAACTTTGTTTTTGTTCCTGATTTACAGCATCCGCAGTTCTTTTGGTTTTTAAAATTCCATTTTATTGACGTGCTGTGGCTTTCAGTCAATCCATTTGTCAACCACTTTGAAAACGTATCACTGACAACATCCCGGGGTTTCTCCTTTAATGCAGAATGAACATTGGTGTTCTGCAGCCCTCAACTTGAAGGGAGGCCTTTCTGTATCTGCCATGCTCTTTGAGCTGTGAGAATGTCTGTAAAATTCTAAAAAAATGCCTTCCAGAACTGTGTCAAAATTCCCATACCAATTGTTAACTAGATTTTTAGACGTTAGCTAGATTTTAGAGGCTGTCATTATTTGTTTTATTTTGTTCTGTTGACTTTGTGGTTATTTTCTGCTGTAGCAACAGAATGTACAATAACCATAATATTATATGATGTTATTTAGAATATAACTGCATTGAGCTGGTATCACTTAGATTCACCAGCATGAGAAAAATATGAGGACAAATTAATTGCTATGGCCTTGAGTAAAGGAGATTCAAAGACAGACCTGCTCCTTCAGGCCCCGTTGAAATAAAACTACATTGGCCTTCTTGGGACTATACTCATTGGAATTTAGAAGAATGAGGGAGGATCTTCTGTAACATAAAATTATGAAAGGAATGGATAATATAGAAGCAGAGAGTTGTTTCCACTGCTGGGTGAAACTAGAACAATGGGACATAGCCGCAAGATTTAGGACTGAGTTAAGGAGGAATTTCTTCACCCAAAGGGTTGTGAATCTGTGGAACTCCCTCCCCAGTGAAGCAGTTGAGGCTACCTCATGGGATGATTCTACGGCATAGATAGACATATTTTTGAACAGTAAATGAATTAAGGGTTATGTTGAGCGGGCGGGTAAGTGGAGCTGAGTCCATGATAAAATCAGCCATGATCTTATTGAATGGCAGAGCAAGCTTGAGAGGCCAAATGGTCCACTCCTGCTCCCATTTCTTATGTTCTTATGTTCTTTTGAGCATTCACATTGTTACAAGACCCATTTCTCTACCCAATCATTTTAAAATGTAGACACTCCTAAGCTATATTCCCGTGAATTCCTGTAATACTTTCCATGAGAGCAAGGCTGCCTGTTGAGAAAGCAAAGTTGTGATAGCAGCCTTTATGAACATGCAGCACTGCTGAAATATTGGCCTTAGCTAGGGGTGCCATGCTGACAGGATACCTGTTCCTACTTGTTAATCCAATAATCCCTG